ATATAGTTATGGTTATAGTTTATGTTCTTGGTGTGAATGTGCCTCTGAGTTTGATCCATAATAGTGATGCTTGCCTCTTTAAACACCACTAATAAACAACCCACATTTTATCATTATTATTATTATTATTATTTTAGCATTTAGCCCATTTTTAATTAATGTTCACTTCATTCCAAAGGATAATCTCAACATGAAAATCATGAACTATTTTGTGAATTTTAGTAGTGTTAGTAATGTTAAGTTGCATGTTTGGACTGAATCTCTGGACTTACAGAAAGCGTTCACAGTCACTGCTGCACTTTGGGATGCCATGTGGCCACAGAGGCCACTAATTCCTTCTTTATCTATACTCCTGTCCTCTGTGGCAGGTTGTGGTAGGATAATGAGGCTCACTGGGCAGTCCTTCAGGGCTGGTACGTGCACCGCACTCCTGTCCCGGGGCAATGGGATGGCACAGACGTAATTACATACAGAGAGTGAAAATCTGAGAAAGAGAACAAGGCAGAGACCTACAAACCATGATCTTTTCCCTGAGCATGCATGCTCAGTGCTCCGGGGTGGGACAGTGGGACTGTTGTGATCTGTGGAGACATGTTTTAGCAGTTCACAGAGACCCAAAGGCCTAAATAATGAGAAATCTGGCTTTCGCTAAATAAAGCCCAATGACATACACTCAGTGCTCATCCACTCCCCCTCTGGTGATATCAACCAAAACATGTTTGGTTGTAAGTTAGACAAATTACTGTCAGTCTGTGCATTAGTGGTGGGGATTTTTCAGTGACACTTTCTGCACGTTACATCATTATGGCAGCAGGAGTATACAAGAGTATTTTGAGTCGATACATTCACTCAGTCGAGTCATTCAAACCACTGATTTATTCAGGAGCTATGAGTGCGTCTTTGAATCACTCAACTGATTTGTTCAAAAACACTAATTCATACAAGAACAAAATGCCACAACTATGTGTAGTGTCCTGGGAACTCTACATCTACAAAATGACGAATACGGATTGTGAATCGGGTTTGTTTTTGCTTTTTTTTATGTTTTTATTCAACTTGTGAATTTATGAAGATGCTTGCATCATCATATATTAAGTTGAATCATTATATATTCAATTACATTTAATTATTATATATGCAATTGTAATTGTACAATAATTGTACAAAACTTGAACGCTACATTTTCAGAGTGCCGTTTCATGCAGAAGATGCTGCAAAAGACATGAGACACGAGTGCAATGGTTAAACACGTCCATCTAGCATGTTTACATTGAAAAACAATGGAAAAGCAACATAGTGGAATGAAAAAAATGTGTTCTGTCTGTATTGCAATGTGTAATATTTGTGTCTAAAATGTAAGTTACTTGATATTACCTTCTTGTTTACTGTACCGTTTGTTAAATAGAAGCAATATCACTGTTGCGGTCAAGCAGTTGCTCTGAAGAACAGCACTTTTGCTTGTGTGATATTGCTTAATTAATCATTAATAAAAATGTACAACTCCTGTATCAAAGTTTCAGATCAATGACTTGCTTATGTACACATGTGTGAGTGTTTTAATACCGTAGCAACACCTCACATCACTAGCTCTGAACACCTGCCTGCTCATAATTGCTCACATGACATAGAGAGGGAAAAACATTGAACAAAAGAAAAGCATTTTGATGATGAGAAAGATTTGTTCAGTACCATTACTCCCATAAACTCTCAAATATCAGTCACCTAAAAGATTGCTTCTCAATTCATCTCGTATCCTCTCCAACTGTAATAAAAACCCATTACTGATGACACCTATTAGATCACAGTCACGTTTCGTATTGAAGAAAACAACCCAGAGCAAAAAGAGAAACTTATCAGCTAAATGATGCACAGCAGTCTGCTAGATTTTTTTATTTATTTTTTTTTGTCTAGCCAGGGTTTTCTAACAGAAGATGCACAAAATGTATGTACTTTTAATATTACATTTTTTTTATAATTTTATAATAATACTTTCATTTTTAACTTATTACGCTACGCCTACGTCCTACGTCATCCGCTGGAATGCCACTCTCTCATGAACACGCATACTCTAGCAGTTAGAGCTAGAGATTATGGTTTATAAAGTTTTAAATATGGATATTTTTCTTACACTATTTCTTACGATATTTTTCTTTTATTAACCCCCTGGTGCCGTGTGGAGCACTTTTTATGATGATGGATGCACTTTATTTTGCTTCAAAATCTTGACCACCATTCACTGCAATTATAAAGCTGGGAAGAGCCAGGACATTTTTAAATATTACTCTGACTGTATTCATCTGAAAGAAGAAAGTCATATACACCTAGGATGGCTTGAGGGTGAGTAAATCATGGGGTAATTTTCGTTTTTTTGGGTGAACTATCCCTTTAAGGTCACCTCAGGCCTTTGCAATTGCAGGATATTTTCTATACTATACGCATAATTCATATGACTGATCTTTTTAAGGCATTGTGAAGACAGTTAAATTAAAATGTTTTAATTAATTGGAAAACACAAACACATTTATAAACACTTAAAAAAAAAAAATCAGTAATCAAAACATTTTGGATTCTTGTTTGACCCCTGAGACAGAAAATTAATCATATTTCATCCACCTTACAATATCACAGTGAAGAAACAATAGAAAACATCAATCAAAAAACGCTTCCACACGAAGGTGATTACTACATGCGCGTCTTTGCAGGCTTACAAAATATACAACCTCTCATAATTCAGCATCTCTCATAAACATAAGGAAGATTACACCGTTGCAAGACATGGATCATTTTCAAAGATTACAGTTACCAGCTGACGGCGACATGATTATCCTTCATTGCAAATGCTTACAACCTTGAAAAGCTTTTGTGATTGTTTAAGTTGTACATTACATAGGAAACCGCACATTCTCATGAATAAGCACCAGACAGGAGTCCTTACAGGAATGGCTCGAAGGAAAAAACAGAGATGAAAAATAAAAGTCTTTCATTTCACATGAGCTGCAGACATTCATGCTTTCCTGGCATTCTGATTGTCTCCATCATTATGGATTTAGTTTTTATGTTGTTGCTTTCTAAACAAAATAAATAGCAGTTGTGCTTGTCTCGGTGAGGTGAGCTCTCCGGCGGTATCAGGGGTCTCTCTTCCATTACACTTCCAACAGCCTGACTGCCAAAGTCAAAGCTGCTCAGGTGAGCTCATGATGGAGCTCCAGCTGGGAGCATTTGTTTTGTGTGTGGTAGAGAAGCAATGGAAGCGTGTCTGATGTATTCCTGCTGTCTTTCTTCCACTGCATATAGGGTGACATTGGGGAAAGTGAAGCCAAGGGCAGTATGATGAAACCCTGTGCCTTTACTATTACACATGGGACTGCTGGGTCTCGCACTCGTTTTCTCCCTTCTCTCGCTCTGTCTTTTTTTAAATATCTTCTGCCTGTGTGCTGCTGCCATAATAGACACTTTATATAGTACATTAGGTATGTAATATGTTTGTCAGTGTCAGAGTCTAAACTAGTTTTCTGTTTGTTTGTTTGTTTGTTTTTTACATTTGAGAGCAAAGTTCATTTTCTCAATTGTCACAATTTTGGAGCAAATGAATATTCAGTTGTCCTCCCAGTTTGATTATAAATAGGTTTTCGTTGAATAACGAATTAGGGCATACCCCAGAATGAGGGAGAAACTCTTTAAAGTAGATGGCCATTTCAAAAGTGAAGCCAAGTTAGCAGAAACTCCAGTCGGGATCAATATAATGGTAAGCTTAAGATGATTTGTGGGACATTACCACTTCATAGCAGTGAAAACAGCACAGCCATTCCTTAAAAATTGATAGGTGCAAAGAACTGAAAGGAGCAATGAATGAAGTCTGAGTTTGTATTTTCTTTCCCCCATTTGTGATTTTATATTAAATGAAAACTAGCTGCCTTCACTACAAATATAGTAAAGCATTCTCCTTGCTTTACATCCATAGCTTCTTTCTAAATATGAATGAAACATTTTAAAGGGTGCAGTTACAGTATACACTGCACTAATGTTTGCTGAAACAATACAATGACTTTGCTAGAAGTATATACCCAAAAAATAAGGCTGTTTATCAGCCAGGACATGCAAACAAGGCCATAAATAATAATAATAATAATAAAGCCCACACTGTAAGAAATACCGGTGTTGAAATAAATACATTTCATAAATTATCATAGTAGCGCAAGAAGCGGGAGGTGATATAAATTAAAATTAGTTTTCCACCCATCATTAAAATTACAGCCATTTTCAGTATCTGTGTGTGCGCATGTAAATTTACATTATATAAATAAATATATAGATATACATTTCTTTCACTTACATATTCATATACATTTTAAATGTACGAAATCTTGATTTTAAAAAAATTACAAAGTTGTCAACTTCCTATTTAAATCCTTTACTTGCTGTAAAAATACAACACCACTCATTTCCTTTTTAGTTTTATTTGTCAAATGTGCAAGGTGAATTTCACAGTAGAGATCAATGAATGTTTACTAAACTCTCACACCATACATACAAGCAAACCAAATGCAGAAAAAAAATTAACAAGATGCAAAGCAATAGAAAGAAAATAAAACACTGTTTTAACTTATGTGGATAAATGAACTGCAAGCTATGACAAATGAAAGAACTGGCTGTAAAGCATTCACACCTGCAGCTGCCAACAACACAAAAGTATCATTTATAAATTCTTTCAAAGCTTTTATTTAACATCTAGACAGACTAGTGAAAGTAGCACTGCCATAACTTATCTTCTGTAATGCTTTGTGTTCTTAAGACTGGCGCAATCACGGACAAAGAAAAGAACAAATTCTTGTGTTAATGTCCATGTTCTGCGATTCACAATTTTTTAACAGAATAAAATCAAACTCTAAAAAACCTGAGTAAATATTAAAAAATGAAAAAAATAACACACATAAACACACACCCATCTAAAAGGAGGAAAAACCAAAAATCAATTTTAAGTTAGAAATAAAAGACAAAAAAATAAAACAAACTGTGCAAGTACAGCAAACATATGGTACAGTATATTACACGTACAACAAACCATTTAAATACAGTACTGTGTATCGACAATAATCCTGAGAAGTGTCCATTTCTGGTTCCCGTGCTACTGAGTGTAAATATGTGAAATGTGCGGCAACTGCACCAAAGCCAATGCAATTTCTCATCCCTCACCCTTCACCAAAGCCCCAGATGAAGCTCGCCCTCGCAGGCACCAAAGAGCCATCAGCTGTCCTATTTAAAGACGCAGTTTACCACGTCCTCAGTCTCTGTGTCTGAAAACATAGCGCTGTATTCTGAGACGCTTTCAAGGGAGGAAATAATGTAGTGCAAAATCAGAAACCTGCATGACGAAATAAACATGAGGCTGGAAAACCAAAACAAACGTCGAGCGATAATAACTTATAAGACTGACAACTTTTGGAAGTGTCAAGCAATGACAAATGGCTGTAAAATCACTGTATCTTCTGTACAAGATTGTCAAAAAAGCAGCACCAAAAACAATTCTTCTTCTCCATAGTTCAAGACTGGAAGATAAGGGGATGGAAAGAGATAAAGAAAGAAAGTGTGTTCATTTGCAGGACATGTGTGAGCACATGGAAACGCTAGTATAGGAGGACTGGACATTTGCAAAACTGACCTTTCCTAAAGTCAAAGCACCTTAGTGCAGAAGCAAACTGTACTATAAGACTTCATATCGGCTTTGCTCACTCCATCACTGATGCCTGGGCTTTTCATGTGAACAGGCACTGTAACATCCCTGATAGCAACACATCTCACTGAACGTTAACCAACCCATGATAGCAAAACAAAGGCCATTTTTCTGGAATTATTCATGAAAACATCACTTAAATTTCTATTGTACTTTGTCTAAAGAACAATGACAGAACACCTGTTATTGCTGCCATGGGGTGCAGGCTAAGACTCCTTGAACACGTTTTGGCATTTTGGAGGCATCCTTCTTCAAACTGCACCAGTAGGTTTCAGATACGAGGAGTCAGTAAATGACAGTGGAATGCAGGCATCCACATTTTGGCCACCTCTTCTCCAACCCTATCGATGTCCTCTCCTGATGAGCTGTTTTGGCGGTCAACAAATTGCCCACTTTTGATTTCAGCTACACATAAAGCTGGTATCCTTTTTTCTTCTCCAATATGGAGACTGAGTAAAATCTTGTAACCTCACTAAAGATCTGGCTGGTGATGCGAAATTGCAAAGATAAAGATTTTGATTTGGTAGCTGGGGCTCAATGAAACATCATAAAAGCAGAGTCTAAAATGAAAATTAAAAACTGCTGTGATGTTATAGCACATGGGTTGACTTAAAAAGGAAAAAGAAAAATCAAAGATTAAAACTTGTGTGTGCATCTTGGCAAACAAATTACTTTCCATTAATAATCAAAATTCTCTAACGAAATTCTTAAGCAAACCACAGAAAGTCTCTTTGTAGGTGGCATGGATCAACTTACTCATCTGAAAACCTGAAAGAAATTACCATTTAAAAATTCAGTATTCACACTAACTGAGCAAAAACGCTCATCATACCCGTATTAATATTTATAGCTTTATATATTTATTTTTCACCTATTAGTCTTTTCTTGTTTTACTCAACTGTTGACATACTGCTTGTCCTTAAGAACATTAACTGCACATGTTCGCCAACGATGCATGCCAACAACCCAAGCCAAAACAGCAACAAAACCTTTAAAGATATGATGGAGCAGAAACGACTCAACATCTGCAAAAACAAAAAAAAGATAATTGCACTTATGATTCACTTTTCTAACTGTAAAACAAGCGATTCTGTGGGTGCTGTGTGCACAATTGTCAAACATAAAATACTGCGGGTTTTTTTTTTGTACTTTTTCAAACAGCACCCGAGTTTATTGATTGAAACCTTTAACACTTTAAGACTTCCCCTGCAGATCTGGTGTTGGGGACACAAACAGCACCATATATTGAGCAGTACCACCATCCCCTTCTCCAAAAACATTAATCAGCTGTCTCAAACAGCACACTGCATTATGATCTTAACCCCTCCTCAAACTCACAGCACTTTCTGAAGACACTGAGGGTATAGTTTGGCCACCACGCACTCAAAATGGCGGCCGAGGTCCCAGAGGCGGTCCGGCGTCTCATAGACCTTTGTCCATTGGTCGGCTTCATCGTCATACTGGTAGAGGGAGTTCTTGCGGCTGGTACGGAACACGTGTTCTTCTACCATGACTTGCGTGGCTCGAACAAACAGATGCAACCTGCCCTGAAGCAGAAGCACCTTGATGTAGGGGCTGGTCGCTTGGTCGAAGGGGAGGTCTCTTTTACAGCACCAGGTGTTCTGCTCGATGTTGTACACCTCGACGGTAAATGTGCGCTGGTGGTTCCTGCAGATGCCTGCTATGTAGTAGATGCAGTTTTTGTACAGGGCCGCCAAGCCTTGAGTGCGGGGAACGTTCATAGACGGTAAATGCCCCCAATAGTCTTTGCGGGGGTCAAAACAGAAGAAGTATTCTCCTAGGACAAATTCACAATAAAAGAATGAGCAATATCCAAACTGATGGCCAAAATGACTAAATATGTAATTAATATTGCAAGTACAATTTATATTATGTAGCACCAAAATTACATTACTTGGCCAAAACCAAAAATTCTGGACTCACACGGCCGAAAGGAAAACTTAGTTTTTATTAATATTTTGAAAGAAGCTTTATTTTTATATTTTAGTTTTCATTTTAAACTTAAATTTTTAGTCAATCTGTTATGTTTGTCATTTTTATTCGTTTTTGTTTTTAAAAATATTACTATTTAGGTTTATTTTTTATTTCACTTTTATTTTTTATTTTATTTCCAGTTAGTGATTTTACTATTTTACAAGTTGTCTGAGCTGCACAGCCAAACTAATTTCCCTATTTTAAAAACAAAGCCTTACAAGGTAAAATATTAGAACAAAGATACACATTACAAATACACATAATATACAAATAAAACAAACAGTGCTTTATTTTTCAGGTACAGTAGGTGTATTTAGCAGTAGCATTCAAGAAACGGAATTAACAAATATAAAAATAAAACACTATATACATCAACTATACATTGATTCTTATTAAACTGCAACTGCAACTGTACCAAAGTTCTTCAGTCAAGAGCAGTGAGTGAGTTTTCTCTTTGTGTTTTGTTGTTTTATTAACATTAAAGGGATAGTTCACCAAAAAATGAAAATTCTGTCATCATTTACTCACTCTCAAGTTGTTTTAAACCTGAAAAATTTTCTTTCAGCTGTACACGTGCTTTAACAACGAGTAGAAATACATTTTTCTACTTCAGAAATACTTCATATTTTGAAGAAATACTACGAGATTTCTTCAAAACCAGATCATGGAGACATTTTAATTGTCCACGATCAAAAATCGTCATATCACACACATATAGGCAACATTTTTTAAAATATTCTTTAAAACTAGAGAGCATTGTTTTTGTGTGCATGTCTGTTTGAGATACAGACTTTAAACAGTCTTTATTTCAACTGTACATTGTGATACATGCATCACAATTCAATAAATTGCTTAGCTCTAGGGCTGGACGATATGGCTCAAATTTATATCACGATATACTTAATCTTTAAACTTTCGATACGATATAAATATGATATCGATATGAACACTATTTTAAAAAGCCTCAAAAAAACTGCCAAGAACACCCACAAAAAGCTTTTGAACAGTAAGATTTTTTTTTAATGTTTTTTAAAGAATTCTCTTCTGCTTACCAAGCCTGCATTTATTTGATCCAGAATACATACAGCAAAAACAGGAACATTTTGAAATATTTTTACTTTTTAAAATAGGCCTAACTGTTTTCTATTTGAAAATATTTTAAAATGTTATTTATTCCTGTGATTTCAAGGCTCAATTTTTAGCATCATTACTCCAGTCACATGACCCTTTAGAAATCATTCTAATATTCTGATTTGTTGCACAAAAAACATTTATTATTATGTTGGAAACAGTGTAGAATTTTTTTCAGGTTTCTTTGGTGAATAGAAAGTTCAGAAGAACAGCATTTATCTAAAATAGAAATTGTTTGTAACATTATAAATGTCTTTATCATCACTTTTGATCAATTTAAAGCATCCTTGCTAAATAAACTTATTTTATTAAATTAAATACCCCCCCAAAAATTACACTGACTCCAAGCTTTTGAATGGAATAGTGTATAATGTTACAAAAGCTTTTTATTTAAGATAAATGCTAATCTTTGGATCTTTCTATTCATCAAATAATCCTGAAAAAAAATTAACTCAACTGTTTTAAATATTGATAAGCATATTAGAATTATTTCTGAAGGATCATGTGACACTGAAGACTGGAGTAATGATGCTGAAAATTTAGCTTTGATCACAGGAATAAATTACATTTTAAAATATATTCAAATAGAAATCAGTTATTTTAAATAGTAAAAATATTTCAAAATTTTACTGTTTTTGCTGTACTTTGGATCAAATAAATTCAGGCTTGGTGAGCAGAAGAGACTTCTTTAAAAAAATAAAAATGCTTCAGCCAGGATAAAGTGTATGAAAAGTGCTGCAGAATACACAAAAATTTAGCAACAACAAAAACATGTTGCTGGAGACAGGCTTATTATTGAAAATGCAAACTGATTGTCTGCCAGCAGGAGGCGCTTTGAGAGAGGCAGAAACAGCGGTTTCCCCGGTAACGGCTGTAATCAAAGCAGCTCTGCTCATGAACGCTACTTTATCAGATCAAATAGAAATGCCATCGAAACTTTTCTGAAGACAGTTGGTTCCCTTCAGAGATACATTCATATAAAACACCAACGCATTTTGATTTTGAAACGTGCAGTGCTCATGTTTATTCACGAAGTCAAACGTCACAAATAATTCAATGTATTGGAAACACTGGTAATGTATATCGAAATATCGGAAATGTATTTAAAAATCATATCCTCGTTATTGAAAAAAATTATATCGCGATACATATTGATATTGAATTATTGTCCAGCCCTACTTAGCTCCACAATATCAAAACTAGATTGCGACTGATCAGCTCATCAACTCTACGTTTAAGTTAAGTATTTTCTCTTTTGACCAATACATTTCTATGGCATTTTCTGTTGAGTTTTCAGTGGCTGAAATTTCGGTGAATCCCTAATATTGAGTGCAAGTCTAGCTCTTTTGTGCTCACAGTTATTGCTGATTTTGCAGAGAGAGGTTAACCCACCTGACTTTACCATCTAAGAAGAGCTAAAAGACATGACAGGCCAATGAATAACAAGGATATATGTGTTTGCACACTGTGATGACCCTGATTTCAGGTGACTCTGCAATGACCCCACTCACCTTGCAGCACATAGATGCGGTCCTTATACTCTACTGTGCTGTGGAACTCCATGGCCACTGGCATGGGACTGAACGCTGTCCAGCAGTTGTCTCTGGCATCATAGCACTCCACAGATTTCAAAGCATTTCGTCCATCCCCTTCATACACTCGACCACCCAGAGCGTAGAGTTTCCCGTAGCAGTGTACTAGCTTGCAGCCGATGCGCGCCCGCAACATGGGTGATCGCGGGAGCCACCTGTTGCCAGCATGTTCATACTGCCAGAAGTCACTCTCTGCACGATGGTCGATGCACACCTCACTATTGCTCGGCCGATAGCCTCCGGCAATGAAGATGTCATTCTCTGATGAGACCAAAATGCCAACCTCTCTGAGGTCATTGGGAGGCTTGCACAGCTTGTACACCTTCCCGGCAGCAATGTCCAGGCAAGGCACGGTCTGCTTCTTCCCTGAGTGCTTGTGAGCCGCGTCGAAGCAGATGACCATCTCTGATGCAGTCATACCCAGCCGCTGTGGGCAGCCATTGGTGCCGTTGAGCCGACCCTTATCCGAGGAATCCCTGGACAAGGCCAGGGCGAAGGCTGGGGGTATACGGCTCAGAAAGGCCTCGTCCAGCAGGGGCAAGCGGATGCATTTGGCAAAAACCTCAGGTAAATCCGCCTCCCGACGTGAGCAGTCATACTCCAACCAGTGCATGATGCTTTCATACACGTGCTCCTCTTTTTCCACGTTCAAATCATCACTGTTGAGAATGCTGACCAGCTGTTCTTTGGTCAGATGAAGGAACTCCTGCTCTCCCATCACGCACAGGAACTTCTTGCGGATGTAATCCTGCGAGCGCTCCCACAACTCCTGGTGGCCATAAGCATCTGCGAACATGAAGACCCCAATGCAGTTCTGAGGGTCCAAACGGCTGATCATGAACTGGGCACATTGGTCTTGGAGGGCTGGGATCTGGAAGATGCTGGCAGCGGTGAACAGTGCCTGCACGTTAGACTCTGTAAGAGTGACACGTGAGGTGTAAGCATAGTCCAGAACCAAATGCATGGACTCTGATTCAACACCAACAATCCGCACCTCCCGCTGACTGCTCTCTGTAAGGCCACTTGTGAACATGGATCTGACAAAAGATAAACAAACACCATTACCGCGTGAACACAACAAAACAGTGTCACCGACTGCATTTCAGAATTTTACCAGAGGAAAAAAAGAAGGCTATGGCAATCATTTTTATGACAATAAGCATTTAGTTAACTGTGGTATTCCAATGTGTGATTCAAGCGTGTTAAAGTCTAAATAAGTGGCACTCCAAAGATTATTTTACATTTAATGTGTAGTTTCTTAAATGAGTGTTCCTGGTTCAGTACAAGTTAAATTCTATTAAAAGAAGCTCTTGGATATTGTCCAAAGAGAATAGAAACCAACTCCATTCAAAGTTTTTTTAAAGCCAAAAATGATCAATCAATTATTATGTAATGAATCATTCCAGAGTTAACTAGTTTACATGGTCATGGCATGGAAGTTGAAAGACTAATTAACTTAACAAAAACAATGTCTACAATCATTTAATCGCATTGTCAAGCTGCTATATTTTTAAAAGAGTACATATTTTGATGTTTGCTGTCTGCCCTGTATACTTACTGTAAACATTTTTAGGGACAAATGATGCCAATACAGCTTGTCTTGTATTGGACCAGGAACATTCCTTTAAAGTTTTTATACATTAATGCTGATAAAGTATTAAACTCTAAATGTCTAATCAGTTTAAAGCTTTCATATCGGTGTATAATAAATAATTTAATTAGGGATGCTCCGATCGATCGGCCAGAGATCGGTATCGTGAGCCCAACTTCAGTCTACTCATCACCTTAACTTTAACTGCGTTTGTAGCCTGTGCCATAGCCAGACTGATAAACAAACACAGACCGGAAGTTAACTTCGGGCCAGGAGCGTGCGCCCATTGAAACCGTCTATATAAAGCTTGAAGCATCAGAATCGGCATCGGAAACGGCCGATCACCATGACAAGAAATCGGTACTCAGTATCGACTGCAAAAATCCTGATCTGATATTAAATTTAATAGTTAAATCTTTATATAGCATATTTCCAATAAATGAAGGGTCTGTGTTTCACTCTTAGCTTCTATCATTTCGCAATTTCTCAACAAATGTTACAAAAATTGTTGATACTTCAAGGTTTAGAGCAGTGATGTGTGCAGGTGCTACCTGAAGTATGGGCTGATGGCAGCGAGGACATTTCTGTGACAAGAGAATGTCTTGCCATGGTCCACTTCCACGACAATGTCAGTCAGCTGAGCTTCGTCGTACAAGGCTTTAAGCTGCTGGAGAATGTTACAGGCGTGTAGGGCATCTACCCCATTGTAGCTTGTGCTTGCTGGAGTCCCATTCTGTACTTGTAACAGCTTTCCTATATCTACAAGACAAAAGTGTTAGACAGCTGAGATGATTCCAGGTCTTACAGCGACAATAAAGATTATGACTTACAAGTATGACTCTTTTGCAGTCAGTTTAAGTTTCTAGGTTTTAAACTGACATGTAATATGGGAACTGAGCATTTTTACACTTTATTAGCCCTTGATTTTTGTTAGAACTAGAGCCCAAAACATTAAGTTTCAATGCAAAACTAAAAGAAAGAAAAACAGATTTAAGAGCTCATTCAACAGATGTGCCAAAAGTCAGTGACATCCAAGTTTACTTACTAAAATTCTTTCAGTGCTGTTCAGAACAAACAAACAAAATAATTCAGACATAACTTCTTGTCCATTAACCAACTAACCAACCACATCCCCCACATGGAATTACTACAAAACTAGTTAAGAGCAGTAAAATAAGCAATATGGTCTAAAGAACTGGTATTGCTTTTGACAACCTCAGACATCTAATACTCTCCTGATAATCTGATTGAAGAAATGTATTTAGTTACTACGAGTAAACGAGATTCGGTGCTTCATTTATTAGCTGTGCTAATCCAAGTGCTGTTTTACCGGTTAGCACAACATCAGGCTAGTCTCTCGAGCCATTCAAGTCCAGACTAGAGCCTTTTCATGGCACTAAATAAACCGTGACCACGCATTAAATATCACGAAAGCACACAGTTATACGAGGGTTAACGTAGTTGAATTAATTGTATCGTAACCCAGCGAGTAAATAAGCGAGTGTTTACACAGTCTCTCGCTGAGCTAGTCTCGCTAGCCGCTACGTTACCTCTCCGTACTTTTCTGCCTAAATCCAAACAACCACCGGAGTTCGCCGTTTATTTGAACGAACCGTCTAACTTTATCGCATTCCGTCAAAATAAAATACTATCACAGATGAATAACGCACAAACAGACTAAAAAACTTTTGGAAATAAGTTTGGTTTTTGAAGAGAAGATCTAACCTCCACTGGCAGCCATTCTCCACAATCTGTCTCACGGCGACTGGGAAAACGTCACTAATGGAATGGAGCCCCGGAAACAGGCAGCAGCCAATCAGCGTCGCCGAACGCAGGTGACAGCCAATAGCCATTCGAGACCGTCTGTTTTCGCAAAATAGTTCAAGCATTATCAAGGAGAGTTTATATTCCATTAAGAACGTCTGTGCGTGAGTTTGTGATATGAATAACTGAGATATATGAAGATAAAACAGCATTTAGGAGGTATACAGTATATAAGTATACAGTTAATTAATAATATCCAGAACTTAAATGTTTAAGATTAAAGGGACTAAATATATACGTTTAGGAATAGCTCAATAAAAATTATTATTCTGATTTCTGAATACTGGTTTGGACATGTGCCCCTCATGTATATGGTGGTTACAGCCCTGCATAACAAGAAGTGACAACTTTATTTTATCTTATCTTTCTTCAAACTTGTCTATTTATCTTTTGTTCCAGCTAAACGTCTGTAGACATTAAGTGCTACCACTTCCACAACTTAAAGCTTAATGGTAAAAACTAGCTTGATAAACAGAGGCAACCCAGCTCCCGCTCTTTCTTTTCTTTTCAGTTCACTTAAGATTTATTTGTATAGTACTTTTAACAATAGTAATTGTTGTAAAGCAGCTTTACATAATTTCAGGCCCAGACCCCCTGTGAGCAAACACAATGCCACAGTGGCCAGGAAAAGCTCCCTGAAAGTAACGAAGTGTTGGAGTAATGGGTGGTTTTGGGGAAAACTTTTTCCAGATCAGCCTGTATCATCCAGATCAACTGTAATATTTTCTTCATTTACTGATTTCTGTAGCTGTCATGCCATAGACACTCTGTGCAGCTTCAGACAAGTGTGGATAACGCTACTAATTTATGCGTTTTTAGTGATTCCCACACTTCTTTGTCAACCCCTTTGACCTAAAAAAATCACTACCCTGAGAAGTTAATCTTTAAATAATTAAATAACACATTCGTGTTCATGGTATACTGATGTTGGTTAATGGTCACATGCAGGTAAACAAATAACATAGTTTATCTTTTTTTAGTAAGTGTTTTATTTTGATTGCTTTTACTTTTAAAATTATTTATTTTAATTTGACATTTTTATGATTTAATTATTTATTAGCATTTCATCAACTCAGGAACCCCCTTGTAAACCCCGATTTGGGAAAACCCAGTGTAGCCCAATGCCTTTTTTTTGTAATCATAGTAATCATAAATGTTTTTGTCAAATTCTCAGTTCACATTATAATGCATCCTAATTTTTTTTTATTTTGACATTTTTTATAATTCCTTTTATCATCAGTGAATAATAAAAGTACTGTAATACAAGAAATTTATCACAATGTATAAAAACTTTAAATATTTATTAATGTTTTTTATTACAATAATATGACAGCAAAATAATAATAATACATAACTAAATATATATTTATCTTTCTTACTTTGCAGTGAAATGTTGTACAGGTTGTGTGAGATTCACACAAAAATCTACACCCCACAGACCTGGTAAATAACAACTTAAAGTCTTGATGAAACTGAAGTAGCAACAGAGCCTTTCTTCCATATTGTACATCCCAGTGAAACTGATTATCGAAAAATAAAAAAAAAGAAGGACAGGGACTTGGTTCTGTCCATTGTGTTTAATTGGATGGAGGCAGATCTGAATGTGAGCTTGCAGACAATTGTAAGAAAGTCTTTTGTTTTACCGGAAGATAGAGTTACGACCTTCTGATTAAAAATGACAAGGTCAGAAAATACTTAAAAAAAAAAAAAAAAAGATGATCATGTGCATGAATGAATCATTCATAATAAGATCAATAACATGCATTTAGTAAATAGATGGGAGCGAATTTTCATTTCTTGTCAACTTTATTTTTCCTAAATCTCTCTCACTAGATAAGCTGCTGTTGTCAATCAGTTCAAGGTTCATCTTCAATTATACAGATCTCTGTAGTTTACAGGCATGGTATCTCACACATTGCAATTTTTCAAGGTAATTTATTTCCTAAAATCAATAGTGGTTCCTGCTACATTAATACAGGCAGCCGGAATATGAATAATTTATTCGAAATAATACGCATTATTCATATCTGTTTCACATAATAATATAAAACAATGGACTTGGAATATATTAGATGTACTAATTCAGTTTAAGTCATCCATTACAACACTCCTGTTCTCATTGCTTCCTGATTCTTGGCTCTCTGTGCCCTTATCTCAAGCCAGAGGATAAAAGCACATGTTTTGGCACATGTCAGTCTAGCACAGACTAGAGATCCATTTTGACACTGTCTAACACTGCACAAAAAGGTGGTCCAATAAGGTATAACTGCAGTGAGCAGGCAATCGATTTTCCTTTCCTCCATAACAACTAGAACAGGCCATGAAATTGCACTGAAATGAAAGGCTTTCTGTTGCCTTGGCTGTATAATATATTTTTGCTTATGTTTACATTCCTATAGCCTGCTACTTTTATATATAGTGCTGGAATTCCTGATATCAGCGCACCATATCATCATATATCCTTGGGACCTCACACTTTGTACTAACATCAGAGTACATCGGATATACTGATTCAAAATGCGAACAGGTCAAACTTGAAAAGCTGTATTGCTTGCAAAATTCTGAATATGCCCAGGACTGTGGAAAGCGACAATCACACTATGACGTTTTTTTTACCTTGTAGTATTCCCTCAGGAAAGTCTCTCCTGTACAATATAGCAATCCTACTTGATAAGCTGCTGTACTTTTTATCTGGAATTGCTTCAGGCATTTATGGCATTTCCATTTCAGCTTTTGACAGTAAAGACATTTGCTTTGTTTGCCAGTCACATTTTTCAAGATATGCATTCACACCCGTCAGGAACAGAGAACACCAGTCACAACAAATCTAGCTTTGTTTGATTTGCATTGCATCTTAAAGCAATTTATGGCATTATTAGGGTTAGGGTATCACGTCATCAGGACCGGGATGGGGAGCACAGAAATCTTGAATCGCCCTGAAGAGGTTTATTTTGCAATAATGATGGCTGAATGTACAGTATCCTGCATCCATTATTTATGGATGCTCATCAAATAAACTACATAGAAAAAATGATTTATTTTTTACAGATTTTTATTAAAACCTAAAGTGATAAATCCAATTTGATTTCACATTCTGAAAGTTCTGTTTATATGAACCCTAAACTTCACAATCCAAATTCACATTTTTGTTTACATGTGCATTTACGCATTCCAAAGAAAACGACAGTGTATACACAGTACCCCAGTCACCACGTTCAGAACTGGAGAAAACCACCGTCATAAAAAAATACAGGCTCATTTAAAATAAGGGCTTCTGGCGGCATTTTTGCAAAAAATAATATTACATTGCATTGCTTCTTGCACATTTCGCAGTAGTTTCAAAGTGAAATGTCCGGTGAGTGGTGTTAAGATGCATGTTCAGTTTTCTCTGTAACAGATAAATGTGACTGTGCCAACATTTTAATATGCTGGTTCACGCATATATATCGCGACAGTTCGGAAATCAAATGAGTGGAGACATGAAAATAGTGCTGGTTTAAACAGTCTGATATGCTACCACGGATGACGGTGAGTATTCTAGAGTACTTTGTAATAAATTAAACATAAATAATATGAAATACTGAATCACCAAATTTAGCATTAACAAACAGAAAAGTGTAGAAATCACAGTTTAAAAAAAAATGATTTTCTGTTTGACTAAACCTCTTCATATGTGTGCATTGTGAGGTGGAGTAAATGTGCGCTGAGAGCAATTGCACTTGGTAATAAATTGGCCCAGCAAACACCTCTCAGGCTGTGAGACGATCTCACTTCTTTCACCGTCTGATGAAAGAGAGAGAGAGAGGGAAAGCGAGTCAAGCGACAGAGAGAGTGAGAGGTGCACAGGGAACATAGATGCCGGAGATGCAGCACTGAATTGCAGAGGAGACGCTGTAGGGGAATGAAATGAAAAGCAAGAGGGAGAGAAAGCAGGGGGTGTAATTGTAGTTTAAATGTGTGTTTTAGTCAGAGATGGAGGTAATAGGTTGTTATATGCCTCTGGGGACCCGTGTTAGAGCAGCTGTAGGGAAATGAAATGAAAAGCAAGAAGGAGAGAAAGCAGGGGGTGTAACTGTAGTTTAAATGTGTGTTTTAGCCAGAGATGGAGGTAATAGGTTATTATATGCCTCTGGAGACCCGTGTTAGACTATCTGCAGATGCTCAGAGAAACCGTTCAGTCTCCTGTGTCTTCCCTCACCACCCGTCATGAGGCAAATAGGAGAATGATGGGAGGCAGCAGTAAATACCTGCCCGTGCTTCCCACCTCATGTTTAAAAAGTGCCTCTCTACCCCCTGTACGTGGAATGAATATGCGAGCATCTGCGAGTAGCATGTCCACCACTCGTGGCTCCATCTCACGAAGAACAATCTCCTCCCTGGCATGGAAATGGAGCTATGTGTGGCTTAACAATGGTTATCATATATGCCGGGGAGCCACTTATTCAAATGACTGAACAATTATTTCTCAGTTTGTTTGCAGAGGAATGCTGAAGATGAGAGGACAGCCTGCTAGGCTAATGTGTTACAGGGAGTTTCCGCAATGACAGAGGAACTTGTCGATTAAGTCACTGGGCCTTAAAACATCTGCCATCTCTATAATGAAATCCTTTTATTGAGAACATTATGCATTTGCATAGCAAAAAAATCTAACGTTTTTAGGATGAGAGAAATCTGGTGATGATCTGGTATCTGTTTGAAAAAGATGAGTTATTTTGTCTGTAGCAGTGCTAATGTATTATTATTTATATACTGTTATAGTATGTATTAATATTTTCAGTTTTCATTTTAATTTCAGTTTAAATAATTTTATGTGGTTTTGTCATTTTTATTAGTTATTGATTTAAAAAAATTGTATTTAGCTTTAATTTATTGTTTCAGTATTAGTTTTAGTAAGTCAACTTAAATTTATTTCATTTCGTTGCCAAGGCAACATTTCTAATTTTCCAAGTTTT